AAAGAGTGGGAGAGGCACTGTCAAGAAATTTTAATGAAAATAAGAAAAAATTTTGGAGTGAGTTAAACAAGTTAAGAAAGCCTAGGGGAAAGTATGGATTTGTCAGTTAAAAACAGAGTAGGGAGTTAGTAGATGGGGAGAGGGAGGTATTAGGTAGATGGCGAGAATATTTTGAGGAACTTTTAAATGTTAAGGAAGAAAGGGAGGCGGTAATTTCATGCACTGGCCAGGGAGGTATACTATCTTTTAGGAGTGAAGAAGAGCAGACTGTAAGTGTGGTGGAGGTACGTGAGGCATTACGTAGAATGAAAGGGGGTAAAGCAGCTGGAACTGATGGATCATGACAGAAATGTTAAAAGCAGGGGGGGATATAGTGTTGGAGTGGTTGGTACTTTTGTTTAATAAATGTATGAAAGAGGGGAAGGTACCTAGGATTGGCGGAGAGCATGTATAGTCCCTTTATATAAAGGGAAAGGGGACAAAAGAGATTGTAAAAATTATAGAGGAATAAGTTTACTGAGTATACCGGGAAAAAGTATACGGTAGGGTTTATAATTGAAAGAATTAGAGGCAAGACAAATGTAGAATTGCGGACGAAAAAGGAGGTTTCAGAGTGGGTAGGGGATGTGTAGATCAAGTGTTTACATTGAAGCATATATGTGAACAGTATTTAAAAAAGGTAGGGAAGTTTTTATTGCATTTATGGATTTAGAAAAGGCATATGATAGAGTGGATAGAGGAGCAATGGGGCGATGTTGCAAGTATTGTGAATAGGTGGTAAGTTACTAAAATGCTTGTAAAGAGCTTTTATGAGGTAGCGAGGCTCAGGTTAGGGTGTGTAGAAAAAGAGGAGAATACTTCCCGGTAAAAGTAGGTCTTAGACAGGGATGTGTAATGTCCACCTGGTTGTTTAATATATTTAGTGGGGTTGTAAAAGAAGTAAATGCTAGGGTGTTCGGGGAGGGGTGGGATTAAATTATGGGGAATCAAATTCAAAATGGGAATTGACAACAGTACTTTTTGCTGATGATACTGTGCTTATGGGAGATTCTAAAGAAAATTGCAAAGGGTTTAAGTGGATGAGTTTGAGAATGTGTGTAAAGGTAAAAAGTTGGGAAAGTAAACATAAAAAAGAGTAAGGTGATGAGGGTATCAAATGATTTAGATAAAGAAAAATTGGATATAAAATTTGGGGAGGAGGAGTATGGAAAAAAGTGAATGTTTCAGATACTTGGGAGTTGACGTTCGGGGATGGATTTATGAAGGATGAGGTTAATCATAGAATTGATGGGGGAAAAAAAGGGTGAGTGGTGCGTTGAGGTTATGTGGAGTAAAAAAAAACGTTATCTATGGAGGCAAAGAAGAATGTAATGAAAGTATAGTAGTAGTACCAACACTCTTTATGGATGTGAAGCTTGGGTGGTAAATGCAGCAGCGAGGAGGACGGTTGGAGGCAGTGGAATGTCCTGTCTAAGGGCAATGTGTGGTGTAAATATTATGCAGAAAATTCGGGAGTGTGGAAATTAGGAGAAGTGTGGAGTTAATAAAAGCATTAGTCAGAGGGCAGAAGGGGGGTTTGGGTTGAGGTGGTTTGGTCATTTAGAGAAAAATGGATCAAAGTAGAATGACAGGGAAAAGCATATAAATCTATAGGGGAAGGAAAGAGGGGTAGGGGTCGTCCTCGAAAGGGTTGGAAAGAGGGGTAAAGGAGGTTTTGTGGGAGAGGGGCTTGGACTTCCAGCAAACGTGCATGAGCGTGTTAGATAGGAGTGAAAGGAGACGAATGATACTTGGGACCTGACGATCTGTTGGAGTGCGAGCAGGGTAATATTTAGTGAAGGGATTCAGGGAAACCGGTTATTTTCATATAGTCGGACTTGAGTCCCGGAAATGGGAAGTACAATGCCTGCAAATTTAAAGGGGGTTTGGGGTATTGGCAGTTTGGAGGGATGTGTTGTGTATCTTTATAGTATATGCTTTTAAACTGTTGTATTCTGAGCACCTCTGCAAAACAGTGATAATGTGTGAGTGTGGTGAAAGTGTGAATGATGATGAAAGTATTTTCTTTTTGGGGATTTTCTTTCTTTTTTTGGGTCACCCTGCCTCGGTGGGAGACGACCAACTTGTTGGGAAAAAAAAAAAAAAAAAAAAAAAAAAAAGTCTGTTGAGTATACCTGGTAAAGTGTATGGTAGAGTTATTATTGAAAGAATTAAGAGTAAGACGGAGAATAGGATAGCAGATGAACAAGGAGGCTTTAGGAAAGGTAGGGGGTGTGTGGACCAGGTGTTTACAGTGAAACATATAAGTGAACAGTATTTAGATAAGGCTAAAGAGGTCTTTGTGGCATTATGGATTTGGAAAAGGCGTTTTGACAGGGTGGATAGGGGGGCAATGTGGCAGATGTTGCAGGTGTATGGTTAGGAGGTAAAATTACTGAAAGCAGTGAAGAGTTTTTACGAGGATAGTGAGGCTCAAGTTAGAGTATGTAGGAAAGAGGAATTATTTCCCAGTAAAAGTAGGCCTTAGACAAGGATTGTGATGTCACCGTGGTTGTTTAATATATTATAGATGGGGGTTTTAAGAGAAGTAAATGCAAGGGTCTTGGCAAGAGGCGTGGAGTTAAAAGATAAAGAATCACACATGAAGTGGGAGTTGTCCCCAGTTGCTCTTTGCTGATGACACTGTGCTCTTGGGAGATTCTGAAGAGAAGTTTTTAGAGATTGGTGGATGAATTTGGTAGGGTGTGCAAAAGAAGAAAATTAAAAGTGAATACAGGAAAGAGTAAGGTTATGAGGATAACAAAAAGATTAGGTAATGAAAGATTGGATATCAGATTGGAGGGAGAGAGTATGGAGGAGGTGAATGTAATTCAGATATTTGGAGTGGACGTGTCGCGGATGGTTATGAAAGTGAGGTGAATCATAGAATTGACGAGGGGAAAAGGGCGAGTGGTGCACTTAGGAGTCTGTGGAGACAAAGAACTTTGTCCTTGGAGGCAAAGAGGGGAATGTATCAAAGTATAGTTTTACCAACGCTCTTATATGGGTGTGAAGCATGGGTGTTTAATGTTGCAGCGAGGAGAAGGCTGGAGGCAGTGAGATGTCATGTCTGAGGGCAAAGTGTGGTGTGAATATAATGCAGAGAATTCGTAAGTTGTGGAAGTTAGGAGGAGGTGCAGGATTTCCAAAACTGTTGTCCAGAGGGCTGAGGGAGAGTTTGTTGAGGTGGTTCGGACATGTAAGAGGAAAAGGAGCGAAACAGAATGACTTTAAGAGTGTATCAGTCTGTAGTGGAAAGAAGGCGGGGTAGGGGTTTGGCCCAGGAAAGGTTGGGGGAGGGGGTAAAGGAGGTTTTGTGTGCAAGGTGCTTGGAACTTCCAGCAGGCATGCGTGAGCGTGGTTTGATAGGAGTGAATGGAGACAAATGGTTTTTAATACTTGACGTGCTGTTGGAGTGTGAGCAAAGTAACATTTATGAAGGGATTCAGGGAAACCGGCAGGCCTTACTTGAGTCCTGGAGATGGGAAGTACAGTGCCTGCACTCTGAAGGAGGGGTGTTAATGTTGCAGTTTAAAAACGGTAGTGTAAAGCACCCTTCTGGCAAGACAGTGATGGAGTGAATGATGGTGAAAGTTTTTCTTTTTCGGGCCACCCTGCCTTGGTGGGAATCGGCCAGTGATAATAAAAAAAAAAAAATACTTCTAAACTGTTGTATTCTGAGCACCTCTGCAAAAACAGTGATAATGTGTGAGTATGGTGAAAGTGTTGAATGACGATGAAAGTATTTTCTTTTTGGGGATTTTCTTTCTTTTTTGGGTCACCCTGCCTTGGTGGGAGATGGCCAACTTGTTGGGGGGGGGGGGGGAGTGTAAATTACTAGGATAACCCAAAAATTCCAGGCAAAGTGCTATACATGTATAGTGCTTGTAGATATAAGGCATAATAAGCATGACGCAGGTAATAAGCATTTTCACATGCTCGGGAATCAGGGAGCAGCTCGTAAACCAACAGGTTTACGAGCCGCTCCCTGAGAAAGAGAGACAAGCAGACAGAAAGAGAGAGACACAGCAGACAGATAAGCAGAGCTAGGCAGACAGAGACAGACAGACAAATGTTTGTAACAGTGAAAACAAATAAAGCCAGGGTTCCATGGAGCAGTGAACGTTCATCAAATGTCACTGCACTGTCAGCGGTTTACTGACACTCGTCAATAACACCATGCTTCAAGGAGTTTCATATATACTCCAGCATGTTTAAAACATTGCTGAGACCTATAAATACTTTGTATATATTTCTAGACAATAGTAAATGACCAAGACAGGTGAAAATGTTCACCTGTCAATGTGATTGTGACTGAGTACTATTTCCGTACCTAATATTAGTGTCAGAACAGAGTGGTTATGAAATCACAAGAATTATTATAAATTGTAATTATTGGAACAAAAATTACATAAATTAAAATAAAAACGAGAAAAAAAGGTATATCGGCAACACTTCTGCAAGCAGCAGAACTATGTTGCTGTCCGGTGAGCATCCAGTGCCAACTATGCGGGCTTATATCTCAGTAAGAACTAAAAAAAAAATTTTTTTATCCTATAACATGTAGAAAAATGCGCTCTTCATTAAAAGAAAAAAAATATATTCAGAGTGCTATGCAAGTGAACATAGATCTACATTTGGACAGTTTAAGGGTTAACATGCAATACTGTACAGCATTACACATGGTATGTAAAGTGAACAGTACAGACCATAAAGATGATGAGTAATACAGTGGACCCCCGGTTAACGATATTTTTTCACTCCAGAAGTATGTTCAGGTGCCAGTACTGACCGAATTTGTTCTCATAAGGAATATTGAGAAGTAGATTAGTCCATTTCAGACCCCCAAACATACACGTACAAACGCACTTACATAAATACACTTACATAATTGGTCGCATTGGGAGGTGATCGTTATGCGGGGGTCCACTGTATATACATTACATAAATTTTAAACTTACTAAGCATGGCTACAATGTAAGTTTCAACAATGAACTGTCCCTGTGATGATCCATGAATGTATGCAATATTTCCAGCTTGAGTTTTTTGTAGAAATGGTGGTCCTCTAATGTGGTTCCACATCTGGCCTGATGTCATCGCAAAGGTGAAAGCCTGTCAAATAATGTAACATCTAAATATGTCATAAATCAGAGCAAATGCTAATAGCTGTCATTTTTTTTAAATCTATGAAACTGGCAAATTTGAGTTTTTTCTAAATTGGTACTGTACTATGAAAAAAATATAAATTATCTGTTCGGAATTTTTTTTTTTTTTTTTTTTTACTTTTCCATTATCTACAAGGAATTTCAACTAAATATAAGATGATTCCAAACATGAATGTTTAGGGAGTTTCGAACCAAGTAAGAGAATAATTGCTGTAAGGCATCTAAATGCTAATGTGGGCGAGGCAGATGGTAAAGTAATTTTGGAGTACCTGGAGTAAACAATAAGGGAAGCTTTTAATCAAATTTTGTGTAGAAAAGAGGCAATGTCACCAGACTAACTCTGGTGCCATTTTTACATAAATGCAGTTTTATTTACAATAAACACTAATTTCCAACATAGGTAGTAGGTTGGTAGACAGCAACCACCTAGGGAAGTACTACCGTCCTGCCAGATGACTGTGAAACAGAAACCTGTAACTGTTTTGCATGATGGTAGGATTGCTGGTTTCTTTTTCTGTCTCAAACACGCTAGATAACAGGGATATCTTGCTACTCCTACTTACACTTTGGTCACACTTCACAGACACGTACATGCATATATATATATATATATACATACATCTAGGTTTTTCTCCTTTTTCTAAATAGCTCTTGTTCTTCTTTATTTCTTCTATTGTCCATGGGGAAGTGGAAAAGAACCTTTCTTCCGTAAGCCATGAGTGTCGTATGAGGCAACTAAAATGCCGGGAGCAATGGGCTAGTAACCCCTTCTCCTGTAGACATTTACTAAAAAAGAGAAGAAAAACTTTATAAAACTGGGATGCTTGAATGTGCGTGGATGTAGTGCGGATGACAAGAAACAGATGATTGCTGATGTTATGAATGAAAAGAAGTTGGATGTCCTGGCCCTAAGCGAAACAAAGCTGAACGGGGTAGGGGAGTTTCGGTGGGGGAAAATAAATGGGATTAAATCTGGAGTATCTAAGAGAGTTAGAGCAAAGGAAGGGGTAGCAGTAATGTTGAAGGATCAGTTATGGAAGGAGAAAAGAGAATATGAATGTGTAAATTCAAGAATTATGTGGATTAAAGTAAAGGTTGGATGCGAAAAGTGGGTCATAATAAGCGTGTATGCACCTGGAGAAGAGAGGAATGTAGAGGAGAGAGAGAGATTTTGGGAGATGTTAAGTGAATGTATAGGAGCCTTTGAACCAAGTGAGAGAGTAACTGTGGTAGGGAACCTGAATGCTAAAGTAGGAGAAACTTTTAGAGAGGGTGTGGTAGGTAAGTTTGGGGTGCCAGGTGTAAATGATAATGGGAGCCCTTTGATTGAACTTTGTATAGAAAGGGGTTTAGTTAAAGGTAATACATATTTTAAGAAAAAGAGGATAAATAAGTAGGGCAAAATGACAGTAGTTTGTTGGAGTATGTATTGGTAGATAAAAGACTGTTGAGTAGACTTCAGGATGTACATGTTTATAGAGGGGCCACAGATATATCAGATAACTTTCTAGTTGTAGCTACACTGAGAGTAAAAGGTAGATGGGATACAAGGAGAATAGAAGCATCAGGGAAGAGAGAGGTGAAGGTTTATAAACTAAAAGAGAAGGCAGTTAGGGTAAGATATAAACAGCTATTGGAGGATAGATGGGCTAATGAGAGCATAGGCAATGGGGTCGAAGAGGTATGAGGTAGGTTTAAAAATGTAGTGTTGGAGTGTTCAGCAGAAGTTTGTGGTTACAGGAAGGTGGGTGCCGGAGGGAAGAGGAGCGATTGGTGGAATGATGATGTAAAGAGAGTAGTAAAGGAGAAAAAGTTAGCATATGAGAAGTTTTTACAAAGTAGAAGTGATGCAAGGAGGGAAGAGTATATGGAGAAAAAGAGAGGTTAAGAGAGTGGTGAAGCAATGTAAAAAGAGAGCAAATGAGAGAGTGGGTGAGATGTTATCAACAAATTTTGTTGAAAATAAGAAAAAGTTTTGGAGTGAGATTAACAAGTTAAGGAAGCCTAGAGAACAAATAGATTTGTCAGTTAAAAATAGGAGAGGAGAGTTATTAAATGGAGAGTTAGAGGTATTGGGAAGATGGAGGGAATATTTTGAGAAATTGTTAAATGTTGAAGATAGGGAAGCTGTGATTTCGTGTATAGGGCAAGGAGGAATAACATCTTGTAGGAGTGAGGAAGAGCCAGTTGTGAGTGTGGGGGAAGTTCGTGAGGCAGTAGGTAAAATGAAAGGGGGTAAGGCAGCCGGTATTGATGGGATAAAGATAGAAATGTTAAAAGCAGGTGGGGATATAGTTTTGGAGTGGTTGGTGCAATTATTTAATAAATGTATGGAAGAGGGTAAGGTACCTAGGGATTGGCAGAGAGCATGCATAGTTCCTTTGTATAAAGGCAAATGGGACAAAAGAGTGCAAAAATTATAGGGGGATAAGTCTGTTGAGTATACCTGGTAAAGTGTATGGTAGAGTTATTATTGAAAGAATTAAAAGTAAGATGGAGAATAGGATAGCAGATGAACAAGGAGGCTTTAGGAAAGGTAGGGGGTGTGTGGACCAGGTGTTTACAGTGAAACACATAAGTGAACAGTATTTAGATAAGGCTAAAGAGGTCTTTGTGGCATTTATGGATTTGGAAAAGGCGTATGACAGGGTTGATAGGGGGGCAATGTGGCAGATGTTGCAGGTGTATGGTGTAGGAGGTAGGTTACTGAAAGCAGTGAAGAGTTTTTACGAGGATAGTGAGGCTCAAGTTAGAGTATGTAGGAAAGAGGGAAATTATTTCCCAGTAAAAGTAGGTCTTAGACAAGGATGTGTGATGTCACCGTGGTTGTTTAATATATTTATAGATGGGGTTGTAAGAGAAGTAAATGCAAGGGTCTTGGCAAGAGGCATAGAGTTAAAAGATAAAGAATCACACAAAGTGGGAGTTGTCACAGTTGCTCTTTGCTGATGACACTGTGCTCTTGGGAGATTCTGAAGAGAAGTTGCAGAGATTGGTGGATGAATTTGGTAGGGTATCCAAAAGAAGAAAATTAAAAGTGAATACAGGAAAGAGTAAGGTAATGAGGATAACAAAAAGATTAGGTGATGAAAGATTGGATATCAGATTGGAGGGAGAGAGTATGGAGGAGGTGAATGTATTCAGATATTTGGGAGTGGACGTGTCAGCGGATGGGTCTATGAAAGATGAGGTGAATCATAGAATTGATGAGGGGAAAAGGGTGAGCGGTGCACTTAGGAGTCTGTGGAGACAAAGAACTTTGTCCTTTGAGGCAAAGAGGGGAATGTATGAGAGTATAGTTTTACCAACGCCCTTATATGGGTGTGAAGCATGGGTGATGAATGTTGCAGCGAGGAGAAGGCTGGAGGCAGTGGAGATGTCATGTCTGAGGGCAATGTGTGGTGTGAATATAATGCAGAGAATTAGTAGTTTGGAAGTTAGGAGGAGGTGCGGGATTACCAAAACTGTTGTACAGAGGGCTGAGGAAGGGTTGTCGAGGTGGTTCAGACATGTAGAGAGAATGGAGCGAAACAGAATGACTTCAAGAGTGTATCAGTCTGTAGTGGAAGGAAGGCGGGGTAGGGGTCGGCATAGGAAAGGTTGGAGGGAGGGGGTAAAGGAGGTTTTGTGTGCGAGGGGCTTGGACTTCCAGCAGGCATGCGTGAGCGTGTTTGATAGGAGTAAATGGAGACAAATGGTTTTTAATACTTGACGTGCTGTTGGAGTGTGAGCAAAGTAACATTTATGAAGGGGGTTCAGGGAAACCGGCAGGCCGGACTTGAGTCCTGGAGATGGGAAGTACATTGCCTGCACTCTGAAGGAGGGGTGTTAATGTTGCAGTTTAAAAACTGTAGTGTAAAGCACCCTTCTGGCAAGACAGTGATGGAGTGAATGATGGTGAAAGTTTTTCTTTTTCGGGCCACCCTGCCTTGGTGGGAATCGGCCAGTGTGATGATAAAAAAAAAATAATGAAAAAAAAAAATGATATACGTGTAACTGTACTGTACCTAATCACTCACTATATATAACAGTATATGTGAATACAACAAGTTCAACTGGATAATAAAATCAATGTGCAAAATACTGCAGGACTCATAATAATACTGAAGTAGTAACAGGGATGGGTGGGGGATATTGCAGTTCAATTTATCATCTGAATGGCAATATTTGTACAATTCTGAAAAGACAGCTAGCAAATAAATGATGCCGAAAGTTTTCTTCTCTGGGTTGTTCTGCCTTGAGAAAGCCTACAGTATGTGCTACAAATAAACATTGTACCAAAATAGTATTAACATTGGTATTTAATCTTACCAGTGCACCAAGGGCCCATGTAGTTTTATTATAGAGGAAGTCGAGGTTATTCTTTCGAAGATACAAAAGACCAACAACCAATGCCAGGAGAACCACCAGTGCCAGTAGGCCCGAGTAATTAGGGGGCCGGAAAACACGGATCTGAAGGGGTTGAAGTGAGCATCATATGAGTGAGGAATTATACAAAATAAAGCTATTCAATAAATGAGAAGGAGAATGTCACAATTTTATTGTCAGTAACTACTGCATGAAAAGCTCGATCTTATCAGATATCTTCAATAACTAATGTTTAATTTTGTAGGAGAAATGCTCATTGTCCAGGTGACTACACCGAAGCCAACTGTTGATGGCCTTCCGTAAACACCTCCACCTCACCGTCTACCATCTGTATCACTTCTGCCATGCAGCACTGAATGAACCTTACAGATTTAGCACTTTCCATGAATATAATGCACTAAAGCAGGACAGGCACACATGGCTATTTTGAACATTTTATTTACACTTCAAGACACCAAAAGCTTTGCCTTTTTGTCATTATCTTTTTTTTTTTTCAACACACTGGGCATCTCCTAGACAGTGGCAATCATCCTTGACAAAGTGAACCAAGAAAATCAAAACTTAAAAAGGAAAATACAGTACGATCCACGGAGGATACGTTCCAAGGACCTGCCATGGATACCAAAACTGTGGATAGTAGCAAACCCTATATATGTCCTATACATGTATATACTTGCCTTAAAGTTTGATAAATTATGCACAATAAGAGAATTATCACTTTTTCATTGATGGGAAGCAGCTCACGGTTTCTCTTAGGCTTTGAAGAACTGCCAGCTTCTCTACTTTTGAGCTTTGGGGGCATTATGAAAAATTAACAGGTATTTTTGGGCCACAGTAAACTGTGGATAACTGAAACCATGGATACCAAATCAGTGGACATGGAGGGTCTACTGTATAAACAAATAATACAGGCTAATAAATACTGTTAATAAGCAATGAATGACCCGCATGCATTAGCACTTTTTGTCAAATAATAAAGCTTTAAAACAAACAGAAGACCACTGTATATGCAAAATGCTAAGTTTAAAGCTGATGGATTGCAGGAAGGGTATTAAAACATACAGTGGAACCTTGACTAACAAGTGTCCCAACGTACAAGTTTTTTAAGATACAAGCCATCCCTGGGTCGATTTTTTGCTCCGAGTTACGTGCCAACATTTGAGTTACAAGCCAGCTCCCCCTGCTTCCCCCTCAGCCCAAAACCTGGATGCCTCGCTTGTTTATCTATGATTTCATGCTTTAATTTCATAAAAATCATCCTCTTTTTCTTCTCAGTACTGTCCTTTACACTTACTTTCTTAGGACCCATGCTCAGAAAAATGAAATTTGGCCAAATGACTGTCAAAAAATGTAAGCAAAGCATGAGAGAACTGCTCCCACAGTGAGGTAAACAGTTCAGCGAGTTGGCGGCGTTCGTTATTATTTTAATAATAATAATACAGTGGACCCCCGGTATACGATATTAATCCGTTCCCAAGAGCTCATCGTATGCCAAAATTATCGGAAGGCGAATTAATTTTCCCCATAAGAAATAATGGAAATCAAATTAATCTGTGCAAGACACCCAAAAGTACTATGAAAAAAAAAGTTTTACCACATGAAATATTAAGTTTAATGCACACAAACTGAAGAAGACATGCAGAGTTAGTAGTACTCTACTAACAATAGAATACATGACACTTACCTTTAATGAAGATCTGGTGATGATTGATGGGATGGGAGGAGGGGAGAGTGTCGAAGTTGTTAATGTTTAGAAGGGGAATCCCCTTCCATCAGGACTTGAGGTAGCAAGTCCTTTTCCGGGGTTACTTCCCTTCTTTTAATGCCACTAGGACCAGCTTGAGAGTCACTGGACCTCTGTCGCACAACAAATCTGTCCATACAGGTCTGTACCTCCCGTTCCTTTAAGATTTGTCTAAAATGGGCCACAACATTGTCATTGTAATAGTCACCAGCACGGCTTGCAATAGCTGTGTTAGGGTGATTTCCATCCATAAAGGCTTGCAGTTCAACCCACTTTGCACACAATTCTTTAATTTTTGAAGTAGGCACAATGGATTCTACAACTGGCATAGGCTTCTCAGGGTTAGCCCTAAACCCTTCAAAATCTTTTGTAATTTCCATACTAATTCTCACCCTTTTTACCACAGGGTTGGCACTAGAAGCTTTCTTGGGGCCCATGGTGACTTATTTTGCAGAAACAAGCACCAAAAACACTGTGATAATATGGAATGTACCGAATGTATGCTTAGATGCGAGAACACTGGCTGGCTTGTAAACACTGGCAGTTCAGGCCACAAGTGGATGCGTCACAGCCGAATCGCGTGTGGCGGGTTTTTTAAAGAGTGGTGAGGCAAAATTTTTGCGTTAAAATGTATCGTATACCGGATTTATCGTATACCGATGCCATCGTATGCCAGTGGTCCACTGTATTATTATTATTAATAATAGTATTATTATTATTATTATTATTAGTTTAGGTAACTAGAGCACATATCCAATTCAAGGTTCTTTGACGCTGGTGAGGGGCTCTTGATGTAGGGAATTGGATCTGTGCTCCAGTTCCCTAAATTAATAATAATAATAGGGTGTGCAGAAGAGAGGGAGACTACTTTCCAGTAAAGGCGGGTCTTAGACAGGGATGTGTAATGTCACCATGGTTGTTTAATATATTTATAGATAGGGTTGTAAAAGAAGTAAATGCTAGGGTGTTCAGGAGAGGGGTGGGATTAAATTATGGGGAATCAAATACAAAATTGGAATTGACACAGTTACTTTTTGCTGATGATACTGTGCTTATGGGAGATTCTAAAGAAAAGTTGCAAAGATTAGTGGATGAGTTTGGGAGTGTGTGTAAAGGTAGAAAGTTGAAAGTGAACATATAAAAGAGTAAAGTGACGTGGGTATCAAATAATTTAGATAAAGAAAAATTGGGTATCAAATTGGAGAGGAGGAGTATGGAAGAAGTGAATGTTTTCAGATATTCGGGAGTTGACATGTCAACAGATGGATGTATGAAGGGTGAGGTTAACCATAGAATTGATGAAGGAAAATAGGCGAGTGGTGCACTGAGGTATATGTGGAGACAAAAAACATTATCTATGGAGGCAAAGAAGGGAATATATAAAAGTATAGTGGTACCAAGACTCTTATATGGGTGTGAAACTTGGGTTGTAAATGCTGCAGCGAAGAGGTGGTGGACTGTGGAGTTAATAAAGTATTAGTCAGAGGGCTGAAGATAGGTTGTTGAAGTGGGTTGGTCATTTAGAGAGAATGGATCAAAGTAGAATGACATGGAGAGCGTATAAATCTGTAGGGAAAGGAAGGTAGGGTAGGGGTCGTCCTCGAAAAGGTTGGAGGGAGGGGGTAAAGGAGGTTTTGTGGGCGAGGGGCTTGGACTTCCAACAAGCATGCATGAGCGTGTTAGATAGGAGTGAATGAAGACGAATGGTATTTGGGATGTGACGAGCTGTTGGGGTGTGAGCAGGGTAATATTTAGTGAAGGGATTCAGGGAAACTGGTTATTTTTATATAGCCGGACTTGAGTACTGGAAATGGGAAGTACAATGCCTGCACTTTAAAGGAGGGGTTTGGGATATTGACAGTTTGGAGGAATATGTAGTGTGTCTTCATACGTATATGCTTCTAAACTGTTGTGTTCTGGGTACCTCTGCAAAAACAGTGATTATGTGTGAATGAGGTGAAAGTGTTGAATGATGAAAGTATTTTCTTTTTTTGGTCACCCTGCCTCGGTGGGAGACAGCCAACTTGTTAAAAAAAAAAATTATTATTATCATTACTACAGTAGAGTAGGGCCCCACTTATTCGGCAGGTTAGATTCCAGGCTACTGCCGGAAAGCAGAACTCCATTTTTTCCATTTATAAATGCATATAAATACCAGATAAGTTTACACTAACATATATTAAGTTAGCAATAGAACTAGGCATTAAAAACTAAAATACACACACATTACACTCATTATTTACCTCAAAATATTTGTAGTCTTAATGTATGGCAAAAGGTGAGTAGTATTTACTCTAAGAAGTCAGGTGTGGTAGCCCTCCTGGCCACCCCACCCAAACATACTATACTACGATGCTTAAAGCTCCCTAGAGCGATAAAATGCACATACAGTACACGCATTACTTACCTTAAAGTATTTGTAGTCTTAATGATCTTAATGTAGGGCGAGAGGTGAAAAGTATTTATTTTTAGAAAGTCGTGTGGGAGGTATGGCATCCTGCCTGGCCACTTATACCTACAACAACATTAAGCTCCCTAGAGCGATAAAATGCATATACGTGCAGTGGAACCTCGAATATCGAACTTTCTTCGTTCCAGATGGCTGTTCGAGTGCCATTACCGAACGAATTTATTCCCATCAGGAATAACGTAAATTGGATTAGTTCATTTCAGACCCTCAAAAATACACTTATAAAAGCACTTACAAAAATACACTTATATAACTGGTTGAGTTGGGAGCAGTTCGATATTTGAGGTTCCACTGTATAGTACACTCATTAATTACCTTAAAATATTTGTAGTCTTAATGTAGGGAGAGAGGCGAGTTTTATTTGTATGAAGTCAGGCTGGGAAGTATGGGTAGCCAGGAAGGGCAGCCCTCACCACCCCACCCACACAATGTAAACAGACCAGATGAACGCGTCTGGTTTTCGTCACAAAGTCCCACAAGTCGCCTGGCTACCACAAGTTGCCTTGGCTACCACAATTCCTACAAGTTACCTGGCTACCACATCTCATATTTATGTTAATTTATTCTACTGAGGGGTGTATTTAGATGGATTAAGCAAAATGTCTATATTAACATTTCATACGATATTTAATGCTCCTTAGAGTGATTATTGTGTTATTATTATCATTATTAATATGGCATCTTCAAAACTAATAAGACACTCTTAGTGATTTTAATGTGTACCTGCATGCTAGCACAATGTGCAAGTTTACTTAGGTACAGGTACACATACGCATAATTATGAGTTATTATAATTATAATAATGTAGGTATGTAGTCCACCTGGGCTACATACCTACAGCTACCTACATAGCTACACGATATTTAATGTGGCCCAGAGACATATTACCATCGACATACCATGTTCACTGACTTTAATCATTTCAAACAACTGCCTTTAAATGCCATCAGAAACAAAGGGAGAAGTAATGAATAATTCGTCGAGAATTGTAAACAAAAGCGTTATGTATTAAGGGGAGTGACGTAATGTTTTCCCTCCACCCGGCTACCACACCTCCATAGTATATAAACAAAATGTTTACACGTTACATAATGTGTTTCTTATATAATTTTGAAGAAAATATAATAGATTTATTAATGAAAATGTCTATATTAACGTAAAATAAGACATTTAATGTGCCCAAGTGATTATTATTAGAATTACGTACTGTTTTTCCTCCACCCGGCAACCACACCCCCATAGTATATAAACAAAATGTTTATATATTACGTAACGTGTTTCTTATATAATTTTGAAGAAAATATAGATGGATTAATGAAAATGTCTATATTGAGATAAAATTAGACATTTAATGTGCCCAAGAGCGATTATTATTACATAATAGAGATATGTGCATATGGAGAATGTAAACAAACCAGGTGGCCCGCGCCGTATTTGAAAGACCACTTGCCGTATAGAAAGTTTTGTTCATAATTTGAGATCGCTGTATTAGCGGAACATCGAAAAGTGGGGCCCTACTCTAACATTATAATAACAAGAGCTTCAGTTCCCTAAATTAATAATAATAATACATAATATGTACGTAATAATAATTCAGAATGCTGCCGCTAGTTGGCACACTGATACCAAAACATCCAGTAAGCAGTGCAAGTTTACATCGCTGTGGGAGCATCTCTCTCGTGCTTGCTTGCATTTTTTACAGTCATTTGGCCAAATTTCTTTTTCCTAACCATGGGTCCTAAGAAAGTAAGTGCAAAGGACAGTGCTGAGAAGAAAAAGACAATGATTTCCATGGACTTAGCCAGGCAATACCAGCTTAGTATATCTACGATATGTAGATACTATAGCTGTATCAGTTAAGTTCAGTGATCAAAAAAACAATGTTGTTGGAGGTTTACAGGGCCACTGACATCATATGCCACAGCCTCAACATCCCCCACCCTTAGCCTCCCCCACCCACAACCTCCCCCACTATTTCTTCTCCAAGCAAGTACAGTGGACCCCCGCATAACGATGGCATCACATAGCGATTTTTCCGCATACCGCTTTTATCGCAAAATTTTTGCCGCGCATACCGATTAAAAACCCGCTCACCGATTTTCGTCCGAGACGCGTCCAATGTGCCCTCAGCCAGCCTCACATGTGCCGCCCGTCCCATTGTTTACCAGCCAGCCTCCGCGGTAACATCCAAGCATACACTCGGAATATTTCGTATTATTACAGTGTTTTCGGTGCTGTTTCTGGAAAATAAGTGACCATGGGCCCCAAGAAAGCTTCTAGTGCCAACCCTGTGGTAAAAAGGGTGAGAATTAGTATGGAAATTAAGAAAGATTTTGAAGGGTTTGGGGCTAACCCTGAGAAGCCTATGCCAGTTGTGGAATCCATTGTGCCTACTTCAAAGATTAAGGAAATGTGTGCACAGTGGGTTGAACTGCAAACCTTTATGGATGAAAATCACCCTGACACAGCTGTTGCAAGCCGTGCTGGTGACTATTTCAATGACAATGTTGTGGCCCATTTTAGACAAATCGTAAAGGAACGGGAGGTACAGAGCTCTATGGACAGATTTGTTGTGCGACAGAGGTCCAGTGACTCTCAAGCTGGTCCTAGTGGCATTAAAAGAAGAAGGGAAGTAACCCCGGAAAAGGACTTGCTACCTCAAGTCGTAATGGAAGGGGATTCCCCTTCTAAACAGTAAGAAGATAATGCTCTCCCCTCCTCCCATCCCATCAATCATCACCAGATCTTCAATAAAAGTAAGTGTCATGTAAGTGTGCATGCCTTTTTCAGTTTGTGTGTATTAAAATTAATATTTCATGTGGTAAAAAAAATTTTTTTTTCATACTTTTGGGTGTCTTGCACGGATTAATTTTATTTCCATTATTTCTTATGGGGAAAATTCATTCACATAACGATTATTTCGCATAACAATTACCCCTCTTGCACGGATTAAAATCGTTAACCGGGGGTCCACTGTACATATACACTTTATATAAACAGTTTATTATTTCTTTACATCCTGTAGCGTATGTAGTATTATGATTTGTGTGTTTATATATGATATTTTCAGTGTTTTCCTTAGAAAACTAGTGATCTACTGCAGTTAGCCTCAAAAATACTCTGTTTTCTCTTACAATAAGAGCATGGGAAGATACTATATAGTCAAAGTTGGACAGGAAATGGCGGACGCTTCCGCTGCTGCCTCTGCCACCATATTATGGCCTATTTTATTCATTCTAGAGTATATATCATTTTTCTGTGTTAATTATATTGTTTATTATGTCATATTAGATGAATTGTGATAGATGAATAAGCCATACACTTGATAACAGCGTCATATTCAAGTATTTTTTCTCATCTCTCCAGAGTGCAGGAACGGATCAATGGCTTTTCAATTAATTTAAATGAGGAAAATTAATTTAATATACGAGTAAATTGAGTTACAAGCTAGCTCCTGGAACGGATTAACCTCACAAGTCAAGGTTCCACTGTATATACATATGTCGATAAATAATACACATTAGTGCACACGTAGCAAACATACCTGAATATCAGTCCTTTCAGCAACCCAGCGAGCTATGTTCTCAGCAGCAAAACCAACTCGCTGAATATCCAGGGTATCTACCTTCTTGGGCTTGCCTTTGGCTGGGAAATGCATAAACACAGGAGCAGAATTGAGTCTCAGCTGTAAAATATGAAATAAATATCTTCACTGTGGTGGAGTCTATAAATTCAAAATTATTAAATTTGAATAAACACTAAAAAACAATAAAAATTTTAACAACTTCTATTTTCAATTTGATCCAATAAAACTATCTAGGGAGCAATGGGCTAGTAACCCCTTCTGTATAAATTACTAAATTTAAAAAAAGCTTTAGTTTTTCTTTTTTCGTCACCAGTCACTCTGCCTCAGTGGGATACGGCTGGTTCGTTGAAAAGAAAATGAATATCTACAAATGGCTTACAAGAAAAAATCAAATGTGGGAGTAGATGAAAGTGTTTTTTAGGGGTTTGATGTGATGCGAGAGTGAGCCAGGTAACATTTATGAAGGGATTCAGGGAAAGCAGATATTTTTTTTTTTTTTTGGGGGGGGGGGGGGAAGGGGGGGGTGAAGAAAATAGTCCCCCAACCCAACCCCCCCAAAAAGTGGGTGGGAAAAGACGGAAGGGTTATTTGAAGTGTAAACATCTTTTCATTACGGAGAGAACCAAAATAATGAGTGATGGTAAAACCCTATTTCCTTCTTTGGTCCTCCCCGGGGGGGGAGAAATCAAGTGAAAAAAAAAAAGTATACTGTACAATAAGGTCTGACTAATGTAAGTTCTGCCTTTAACAGAGGGGAAATAATTTTTGCTTTTATTTCTAATAAATAACTAAATTCTTTACCTGTTGAAAGCCCTCTGGGCCTTCATAAAGTCTACAAGGGGCAAAGAAACCCTTGTTGGATGCCCTAAAGATTTACTCCGGGATTTTGGCCACTAGCTGGTTTTCCCATCATGTGCATGCCTTAAAAAAAAAAAAAAAAAAGGTTTTTAAAATCCGTTTATTTCTCAAAAAAGAATTTAATTTTTCCAGGGTTTTTCATTAGACAAAAAAAAAATTTAAGTTTTCCCCAAAAATCAGAAATCTAAGTTAAAAAAATGCAAAAACCCTACTTTTTTTTCAAGTTACAGGAACATTTTATTTTCCCAGTTTTTCCAAACTTCAGTGATATTTTTCATCAAAAAAAAAATTTTAAAATTTCCAAAAAATTGTAGCACCCAACCCCCTTTTTCAATTTACAAAATTCCATTTTTTCCCAACAACTATTTCTGAAAAAAAAATTTTCCCAGTATTTCCTTCAGCACCAAATTTTTTTGAGTTTATACTGGTTGCTTTCCTTTTACCACGGGCTTCCCGGGGAAACAAGCAATGGAAATGTAATTTGTTTTTGATGACCAAGAAAGTAATGGTTCTTTTCACGTGCAGTAAAGTAGCAGAAAAAAGGGAAAGTCAAAAAAAGCTTTAGCGGGAGCTCAAAAGGGGAAACAAAAAAATTTATTTTGATAGCAGGTTTTTTGGTAATTTAAGTTTATTTCTAACCCAAAACTTCTGAGCTATTAAAAATCCCATTTTTTTTTGTTCTAAATCTGAATGTAAAAATAGAAGACACATCTAAACTTTCAAATTTCGGAGTTGTTCTCCCTTTATGATAAAAAGGGAAAAACCTCATCAGTTTCATGTTTCCATACAAGGTCATTTTGATTTTTACACAGTTTTGGGCCCAGGGAGTAAAAAACTTAAATTTGAAAAACCCTTTTTCCCAAACTAAATTTGAAAAAATTTGATAGTTTGAATATTTGTCTTAAATGACTCTGGTGTACAAACACTTGTAATTCCCCTAAAAAGGGAAAACCCCCAAATCTCAGCCTCCACGGGGGAAACCGGAAAAAACCTCCTTTTTTGGACTGTGTAGTTTTTTCCCTGGTCAAATTCTTGGCAGTTCCTTGATGAAAATAAAGAAGCAGAAAATTTTTTATTTAAAGGGTTCCCTTTTTTAACACCCAAAACACTATGGAAAAAAAAACTTTTTTTTAATCTCCCCCTTAGTTCGGGCCCCATATTTTTTTAAAAAAATCCAAACCCAAAGACCATAAAAAATAAATCCCATTTTACACTGTACCCCAAAACCAAACCCCACATTTCCCACGAAATTTCAAATTTAAATTCTCCACAGCTAGCCCCCCCTACACTTATGTGACCACTACTTTTAAATAAAAGGGAAAGAATAAAGCATCAGGGAAGAGAGAGGTGAAGGTTTATAAACTAAAAGAGGAGGCAGTTAGGGTAAGTTTAAAAAACAAAATTGGGAGGATAGATGGGCTAATGAGAGAAAAGGGCAAGGGGGTTCGAAAGGTATGGGGTATTTTAAAAAAAATGTAGTGTTAGAGTGTTCAAAAGAATTTTTGTGGTTAAAAGGAAAGGGGGGTGCAGGAGGGAAGAGGAAAAGTTTGGGTGGAATGATAAATTAAAAAGGGGTAGAAAGGGGAAAAAGTTAGCTTTATGAAAGTTTTTACAAAGTAAAATAAATGAAAGGGAAGGGAAGAGTATATGGAGAAAAAGAAGGTTAAGAGATTTGGTGAAAAAATATAAAAAGAAAAGGCAAATGAAGAGGGGGGTGAGATTTTTATAAACAAATTTTTTGTTGAAAATAAGAAAATTTTTGGAGTGAATTAACAATTTAAACCCCCTTTAAATTTTTCCGTCCCGTAGATCACGGTTTGGTTCGGTGAGTGCCCAAAAACCGTAGATTAGGGCCAAAATTCTAGGGGCCGTCAAATTAGGGGGCGAAAGGCTAAATAGGCCTACATAGAGAGAATGGGTCTGGGCGCCGTGGGTGTGCGCCAAAAAAAAAAATCTAGGGCCTGCAAAGAAATTGGGGGAACCCCGGGCCAGAAAACCCTTTTCCCCATGTCCCCTCGCAATTTCACTCTCACTCCCCGGGAAAATTTGGGGACCCCTCCTTTCCTGTTTTGATAGTTCTGACACAAAAAGGAAGGGGAAATGAAGACGAATTTTTACGGTTTTGGGATAAGTTAGTGACCGAAAATAATGACCAGGATATCGATAAAAGTGCGAAAAACCCCGAAGATCCACAAACCTTCTACCTCTGGGGGGGGGCCCACCTCGTGCCCTCAGGGTTCGGGTTTTCCCTTTAACGTAAAAAAAACCCTAATATTTTTCTCCCGGGGCCCGGGCCCCTTGACTTCAGAAAATTGACGATAAATTCCCTGACTTTGGATTGTGTTTTAAAATTGCGCTCGACGATCTTTCGAGAGTGTTTGGGGGAGGAAACATATTCACCATGAAGCGCGGAAATTTTCCGCCCCCGCATGCCCCCGGGTATTGTACCCCTTTTGCTGTCCCCAGGGGACGGAGTTCTTTCCCGGAGTTCTCCCGGAGTAAAACCCGGATCCCCCACGTGGCCCTAAAAACCCCTTTTGGGTAGGATAGTGGGGATGAAGGGGCTACACTTGGCAGGGAGGGGCCACAACATCAGTGGAGGGGTTTTAAAGGGGGCGGTTTGGTGGAAAGTGGAAAACCGCCATGCGTGACTCCGGGGGCCAAGCGGGAACCCACGCTGCTGACCTCGTCAGTTCAAGGGCAAAGCGGGGCGTAAACCCCCCACCCGCCACCAAAACCCCCCTACAAAACCCGCCCCAAGATGCCAGTATCCACCAGCAAACCGTATCTGGGGTTGGGGAGCAAAAAACCCCTTTTTTTTCCCAAACCCTCACCACTTTGATGAAATCGCAAAGGGAATTCCCCCTACCTGTCCCCCCCTTTGGAAAACCCCGGCCCAAAGAACTGGAATTTTTTGAAAATTTTTCTTTTACCCAACCATTGATGGAAATTATTTTCAGGGAAAGTAATTTAATTTTTTTTCAGGGACACCCTGGCAAAAACGATCTTATCACCACAGTCAAGACTAAAACAGGTGGAAAAAAAGACTGTTGCAGAAATGTTTTTTTCTTTTTGGCCCAAAAATAATTTCTTATCCTTACGTCTAAACATAATATAAAAGCAAAATGGCCACAGATCGGCTAAATTTTTACCCCATCCTTCAGTGAAAAAATACCATGGGAAAAAGGTTTTTTCTTACTGTTCCCTAAAGTTGCACTTCTCTGACAAAACCAGGCCTGACAGAAGTGACAGGTTATTAAAAAGATTAAAAAAAGTTTTTCATGATCTCAAAAAAAAAGTTTAGGGAAAAACTTTTTTAAACCATTTTAAGAATCTTGTAAATTTTACGAGTCTTTTATTTTTTTTCAAAGGGAGAAATGCATTCAAGCATATATACCCGGCCCAAAAGGAAACCGCTTTTGGGAAAAAATTTTTTTTGTACTCCCGTGAATTTTGACAGTGGGGCCCGGGGGTTTGGGTATTGTTGTAAACACGGGGAGTAAAACATTGAAAGATACCCAAAATTATTGGGTTTTATCAGGGGGCTAAATGAGAAACATATGGCAAAACCCTTTTCTTGGAAAGGGGGCCCTACATTATATACCGATAAATGGTACCAAAAAGGGGCCCCTTTCTCATGATTTTAAAGCGAGTGAACAAACCCGATGTGTGTGGCAAAAGGGGCCCTTCAATCGTAAACATATGCCCAGGGGTCAACGCAGGGTTTGGGGTGATGACGTGCCCGGGGTTTTTCTCCAATGACATCATGGCATTAAAGGGGGCATGACAAAAGAGATGTCACCCTTTTTACAACCCTACCAAACCTAATGAAATGCAAGACAGTGGGGAAAGTTGATCGAGTACAATGAACGTATTCCCAAAACCAGTGACAGTGGGTTTTTTTTTACACAAAACATGCGCTTGGGTTTACAAGTGGGGAAATGGAAAAATTTTGGTTTTTTTTTGACTGTGTTTTGTAAAAGTTAAAAATGGTACATGAAACTTTTCTTCCATCCATGGACATTTTAAAACTGAAAGCATATAAATGTACCAAATAAAAAACGGGTAACAGACCCCCGTATGGGGAATTTTTTTTTTGTCCTTTTTGTAGGGCAACTCATAAAGAAGTACCAGGTAAAAAACCCCCTTTTTAAAAAAACTGGGCCCGAATTCATACAATATACCCCAAAACTTTGAGAAGAGAAGGTGATCAAATTTATAATACAAACTTTCCCTTTAACTTTAAAAGAAATTTGCTCAGAAAAGAAAGCAAATTGGGCTGTGCAAAAACAAAACACGGCAACAAAGACCAAAGACACCCCGGTTTATGTGTGAGGAATGTTTAAGGGGGCCCCCTGAGCAAGGTGCCCTTTTGTTTTAAAGGGGTTCCACAAGCCCCAGCAGTTCTAAAACCTTTTCCCGTGGGTTGCAAATATTAAATATATTTTTTTAAAAACATTAGTATTTACAATATTTGGGGCATGTTTATTGTAATAAACAACAGTGGTAAACAATAATATGATAATAACTTTTAGTTTCGGTTTTTTGTGTTTTAATACAGTGAGTTTATTATTTCATTAAAATACATATTTGGTTTCCCCCCTCAGGCCCCAAATGGTTAAATAGGAATAGAAAAAAATTGGAAAAGAAAAGAAAAAACAACTAAAACAACAAAATAATAAAAACGCTAGGGGAAAATTTCGTCGATGTTGCCGCCCCCCCCCTCTTTTTCCCCTACAATTCCCTTTTGGAACTGTATCTGGGTAAGTACTAAACAGATTCAATTTTTTTTGTTTTTTCCCTTCACAAAAATATCCCTTTTTAATTCTTTTTAAAAAAAATAATTTTTTTTTTCAAAATTTTGGACACTGGTGGGGACTTCGATTTTGGCCTTGGACCCTAAAAAGGGTTTTAAGGAAGCCTAGAGAACAAATGGATTTGTCAGGTTAAAAATAGGAGAGGATTATTAAATGGAGATTAGAGGTTTGGGAAGGGGGGGGGGAAACATTTTGAGAACTGTTAAATGTTATGAAGAAGGGAAGCTTTGATTCGTGTATGGCAAG